CGCAAACATAATCAGTTTCTTTACGGTATTTAAAAATAATCCTCTTCAACCATCTCTTCGAACGACATTGCGTGTTCAAACAAACGATTATTTTTAAAACATCAATACTATTGTATATCACGTAATCGAGCAAGTCACGCGGTTTGAACACGCGTGCACCCACGTACGAAAACCTAGCGTGCGGATATCTCCGACGAAAAACGCAGTACACGTCGCACAAAATAACATCACAATATCGAATAAAAATCCGTCGAACAATGCTCGAAAAATTATGAACACCGTGTTCAAATATCTTAGACGTTGCGAACGATTGCAACGATGGCACGTTCAACGAACCAACTTCCATACCAATTTCCAACTCGGTAGCGAATAAAATGTTCGCTGCAAAGAGAAAAAGCAAAAACAGTAAAAGAGAGAGAAAAAATACATCTCTCTCTCTCTCTCTCTCTCTCTCTCTCTCTCCGTCCGCATCATTTGCAAGAGAGAGAACAACCGCTGCAATGCATCCCTCTCTCGCTCTCTACAATATTATACCGAGATAAAAAAAAACGTTACTTTAATAAATCTCAACGAAACCAAAATCCCCGATATCGCTTCGCAAGCGCGGGTAAAGCATCCGCGAGTCTCTCCGGATACAAAACCACAAACTTCTATAAATGCGTCGCGCCTAACGCGCGCAAGAAAAATCCTGCATCGTTTTTGCAAGAGAGAGAACAACCGCTGCATCCCCCCCTCTCTCTCTCTCTCGCTCTCTACAATATTATACCGAGATAAAAAAACGTTACTTTAATAAATCTAATAAACGAGACCAAAATCCCCGATATCGCTTCGCAAGATAAGCAACTTCCGAGTAAAGCATCCGAGAGCCTCTCCGGATGCAAAACCGCAAAACTCCTTATCGGTGACTTTCCCCCCTCCACACGACGCGTGCCGCTCACGATGACGCTTCCTTCCCTTATCCCCCCCCCCCCCGGTTTCAGCCTTCCTCTCGCCCTTGATTGCAGATCGCAACTATTATACCTACTTATTTTTATGTTATCAAACAGATAAGTTGCTCCATGGTTAGAAAAGTATAAATAACGTAATTTAGATTTATTTCGAGCTTATTTCGCAGCCACGTTGATTAGAATAATTTTACTAATAGAATAGGACAATTTTTGTTTCTTTTACGTCTTCGTTCACTTTTATTTCTAGATTTTGATAACGGAGGAATCGAATTTCATATTATACGCGATAATTAATCGCTTAAACGTTAAAATAAACTATTCGGTCCGAATTATAATAAACACGAATACCTTTCCTTTCTTTAATCGTTCGAATAGCTCGAAGGTGACATATAGACGCTCCAAATCGTTGTTTCTACTGTTTCAAGGTACATTAATGTCTCCCTAATTGACTACCAAATTGTGCACAAAAATAGACAATTTGGCAAGAGGAGATACGATTAATCGAGCCTTGCGGCTCGTTTTTATAATTGTTGACAATCGGTAACTATAAAAACTAACTACAAGGCACGAATAATTGTATCCTCTCTTCCCAAATTGTCCATTTTTGTGTACAATCTGAGTGTCATAGTGAGGGAGGTTTTACTGCACTGCTTCTCTTTGCCATAAAATCCGCGCACCACCGGCGACATATTGCACTTGCCTTATAACTGACATAGAAATCGCCTAATTTCAATGACGAACGCGTGCCAAATGTCCACACAGTCGATCCGCGACTATTTAAACGTATTTTCCGGCGTTCTCCTTTCATTGGCTGCCTAATGCGTTAGGTGGACTTGCACGGCCAACTGGAAATGCCGCGTAGCATTCACAGTGAAATAATTGTCGGCGTTCGCGACGGCTTCGGGCGATAGAGTGCAATGCTCGACCCGGGGGCCCGTGGCCGACCGGTAAACACTGCGGGGAGCCCCCGGCAATAAAAGATGCACAACGTTTTTTCAAGGGTGTCAAGGATCCGTAAGAGTCAATTCGGCGTGCGTCGTAGAACAATACAAAGTGTTTGCTCGCCGGAGAATTTCATCGGTATTGTGCGTGTATTAATGCGTGCTTTTTCTTTTCTTTATTTCTTTATTTCCTTCTTTCTTTCTCGTCCATTCGCAAGCGAACGATACGCCCCCTGTTTTTGTTCCAGGCACAAAGAGGTCGAGAATCTCTGAGAGCACTACGGGAACAATGCTCTCCACGAGCGACACCGGTAACGAAGACGACCGTGACTCCGACTCCGGCGGGGAACTTCTTGCCGACCGTCCATTGGGTGAGACTTCGTCTTCGTCTTCGTCTTCGTCCGACTCGCGTTTGACTTGTACAGTTTGTAATGCAGAGTTGATCACGAAGAATTTTATCACTTTAACGCGATGCATTTCGCGAGAATGAATCTTTCTCGGACGAAAATTCCTGTATACGAGAATTGGAAAGATTGACTCGCCATTTTCTATCTCTGACGAACTTGTGATAGAACGATGCATTGTTGTGCTACTGTCGTTTAATGCTCATTTCTGCTGTACTTTTCTTTGTCATATGTAAAATACCATAAGTATTCATCATTGGTCTTCAGATCCGAAACAGGTCATAGTTTACAACAAAAATATTCAGTGTTTCAATCTTTCCAAGAAAGTTATCCCTCGGATCTTTTTCATAACTATATTATATTTTTGACGATACTTCTTATGGACATATTAGCCTCTCTATCGTTTCTAGCATAACAGCTAATTATTTCGTGAGGTTACACAAAAATTGAGTGACGAGGTGACGACTAAGAGGAAATGTTGGAATACGTGGGTACCTAATACAGTAATGTCTCTCTAATTGACGCCCAGATTGCGCACAAAAATGGACAATTTGGGAAGAGGAGATACGATTATTCGAGCCTTGCGGTTTATTTTTGTAGTTATAAATTGTCCACAATTGTAAAAACGAGCCGCAAGGCTCGAATAATCGTATCACCTCTTCCCAAATTATCCAATTTAGTGGACAATCTGAGCGTCAGTAAGGGAGACATTACTGTACCCGTAATTCTTATGCCGGTGGCATAAGAATTAGCATCCGAGCGCTCCGTGCTACTTTATCGATAATATTCTTTGTGTGCGTAACAGGAGTGCCGACGTCGGTGGGCATGTCAGAGAACGAGACGATAAGGAAGCGATCCAGTAGTCTGAACGATTCTGAGGAAGGAAGTCCGGAACCGGGTTCGCAGAGCCCGACGCACACACCGCCATTAACGCCAGCCCTGACGCCGCAGAGGGAGGACACGCCGGCGCCCGAGAATCTCAGCCTCCGCAAAAGCGGAAGTCCTCAGCAAACGCAGCAGACCCTCCAACCGGTGGATCTCGTGCAACCTAGACCCAGCCCACCGTTACCTTCGCTGGCGGTGAGTTCTTCGTTTCCCAATCCAACCATTATGTTCTCTTCGATGAACTAATGAGCCTTGCTCGCGTTATCCAACTCGAATGAACATAATTCACATTTTATCCACGGTGTAAGAAGGATAGATGAATCGACTACGGTTACCCCGACCACAAAATTTTTTCGACGCCGAATGTTTACTGTCTCCAGTTGCCGCGAGAGATGCCAATCGAACGTCGGTGCTCGCACCGATACGTTACTTTTTCAAATTAGATTCGTATAGGTGTGGCATTATTTACGGTAGCGTCGCTGCAGTGGCTACCGCACACACGTGCAAGCAATAGAAACTCTACCCGATCGTAGCAAGGTTAAATTACTCTATTATTAACCATTTGAGTCCCAGGGGTATTGAAAAAAAGAATTCGAAGAATCCGAAACAGCGCTTTCTCTAAACGAGTACGAAAAGACCCAAGCAGCGCGATAGCGCTTGTTTTATTTTATGTCGAGAAATACCAAACGGCGCGATAATAATGAATTAAAAATTTTTATTTTGTAATGTATCATTGCATTATTATAGTATTATTCTACCTATTGTAAAATGTACTATTTACATTAAAAGGAGCTGTGCGATGTACTTGCTTCGGTAAATCTGAGCGCGCTTCGACAATCGGTAACGCACCGTCTGTTGTCCACAATGTTCGAAATGTGCTGGGTTTTCTCGACATAAAATCTCAACAGCGCGATCGCGCTGCTTGGGACTCGAACGATGAATGATCTGCAGGCTGATAACAACGACAAATTATTTTAGCCAAAGTTCGAAACTCTTTTATCGGCCACGGATTTATTATTTTACGAATTTGATCGAATAACATATAAAAATAATAACCTGAAACGATGCTACAACCGCCACGATTTTATGTTGAGAACGTGCTTTAAATGAAATTCTTTACAAACTTTTATATTATCTGTCGAAGATCTTTGGAAGCTCGATGACGTAATTGCTGCTTGTGTTTACATTTCCCTCGAATAACAGTGAACGCGCAAAAGAGACCGCGCATTAAGAAATCAACGCGAAAACNAAGGAAGCGATCCAGTAGTCTGAACGATTCTGAGGAAGGAAGTCCGGAACCGGGTTCGCAGAGCCCGACGCACACACCGCCATTAACGCCAGCCCTGACGCCGCAGAGGGAGGACACGCCGGCGCCCGAGAATCTCAGCCTCCGCAAAAGCGGAAGTCCTCAGCAAACGCAGCAGACCCTCCAACCGGTGGATCTCGTGCAACCTAGACCCAGCCCACCGTTACCTTCGCTGGCGGTGAGTTCTTCGTTTCCCAATCCAACCATTATGTTCTCTTCGATGAACTAATGAGCCTTGCTCGCGTTATCCAACTCGAATGAACATAATTCACATTTTATCCACGGTGTAAGAAGGATAGATGAATCGACTACGGTTACCCCGACCACAAAATTTTTTCGACGCCGAATGTTTACTGTCTCCAGTTGCCGCGAGAGATGCCAATCGAACGTCGGTGCTCGCACCGATACGTTACTTTTTCAAATTAGATTCGTATAGGTGTGGCATTATTTACGGTAGCGTCGCTGCAGTGGCTACCGCACACACGTGCAAGCAATAGAAACTCTACCCGATCGTAGCAAGGTTAAATTACTCTATTATTAACCATTTGAGTCCCAGGGGTATTGAAAAAAAGAATTCGAAGAATCCGAAACAGCGCTTTCTCTAAACGAGTACGAAAAGACCCAAGCAGCGCGATAGCGCTTGTTTTATTTTATGTCGAGAAATACCAAACGGCGCGATAATAATGAATTAAAAATTTTTATTTTGTAATGTATCATTGCATTATTATAGTATTATTCTACCTATTGTAAAATGTACTATTTACATTAAAAGGAGCTGTGCGATGTACTTGCTTCGGTAAATCTGAGCGCGCTTCGACAATCGGTAACGCACCGTCTGTTGTCCACAATGTTCGAAATGTGCTGGGTTTTCTCGACATAAAATCTCAACAGCGCGATCGCGCTGCTTGGGACTCGAACGATGAATGATCTGCAGGCTGATAACAACGACAAATTATTTTAGCCAAAGTTCGAAACTCTTTTATCGGCCACGGATTTATTATTTTACGAATTTGATCGAATAACATATAAAAATAATAACCTGAAACGATGCTACAACCGCCACGATTTTATGTTGAGAACGTGCTTTAAATGAAATTCTTTACAAACTTTTATATTATCTGTCGAAGATCTTTGGAAGCTCGATGACGTAATTGCTGCTTGTGTTTACATTTCCCTCGAATAACAGTGAACGCGCAAAAGAGACCGCGCATTAAGAAATCAACGCGAGAACACGAAAAACAAACAAAACAAACGTAGGTACGAAGTCGGCACACCTATCCTTCTTGCGCCGCGATTCTACCGCACCACTGATCGTCAAAATGTTTTCATCAGGGTTGCGAATCATCGGCACTTGTTTCTCCTCGGAAATTCTATAATGACTTTGTCGACCGACCCGTGACGCAAACGCTCGACAACAAAGGAAGATGGAATTTGTTGTTCCCGTTGCAGGCTGCAGCGACGGCGGTGCATTTCCCTCCCTACGCACCCCTCTACGGTCCGGCGGCCAGCTCGCTCTACTGTTCTCCAGCCCTTTATCAGCATCAGCACCATCATCATATGCCGGAACCGCGAGAGATCCAAATGCAAATGCAGATGCAGAACATCCAGCAGACCTGTGGGCTGCAGCTACAACAGCAGCAGCAACAGCAGCAACAGCAACAACAGCAACAACGATCCCCCGTGGACGTTCTCCTGAGAGTCTTTCCGGGAAGACGGCGAGCGGACGTCGAGGCTCTGCTGCACCGGTGCAAAGGTAGGACCTGCAATCCGATCCACGCGGCTTTCATTCGCGAGCCAGAATTTGATCTACACCGTTGGCCAGTTTCTTTTCGACGTCTCGCGGTTCATTCGGCTACCGAATCGGTCTCGGGTTTCGGCTTCGACCCGTGTTCTTCTAGCTTTGAACCCTTTCGGGGATGAGGATCGTATTCGGTTAGAAACAAAACAATTACAGGAACCCCAAATACGATCCTACTTAGAATAGAGGAGCCGGGTTCGGGAGGGTGGTTGGGAGACTGAATGAAATCGAATTGGAGCGGAGATCGTAGGAATAGTTGGTCCGTTAGCTGAACCCCTTTCCGAGGAGGAATTAAAAATTGTACACGGTCTCTAAACTCGATTCAGATCGAAGTTCTTGGTAATTTGGTCGGAGGGGGGGGGGGGGTGATCGATACTAAATTGCAGGGAGATGTCTAAAAGATTAACCGTTTGAGTCCCAAGCAGCGCGATCGCGCTGTTCAGATCTTGTGTCGCGATCAAACAACAAACTTTTTTCTTCTTTTTGTTTTGTTTGTCAATCTTGATGACCGCTAACGCGCCGCTTGGTTCTCTTCGCAATCAATTAAGACAAGCACTATCACGCTGTTCGGCATTTTTCGATCGTGTTTTCTGAATAAACCCTGGGACTCAAACGGTTAAGTAGCTAGTACGACTGCTTGGCCAGTCTAGTTTAGGGTTGAGGATTCGATGTTTAGGAATTAGAAGCATCAGCACGATTCTTGCCCAGTTCTACGAGCAAAATGTTTTTAACGCGACTGGTCTGTTAGCGAAGATTCCGAGTTGTGGATGTAATTTGACGATCCTGGTGAATTCGAAAGACGCAAGAATTACGACGGAGCAGCAATTTCGGACTTTTGTATTCCATTGATACACATTGATTACAAGCTCTTGAAACTGTTTTATTTCGGTCCCGAAACGTTGCATAGTGATATCTTTTCTCAAAATGTTACTTACAATTTACAACTTCGTACGATTTGAATACGTTATCGAAAATGCAGAAATCAAAATGGAAAATCAGACATTATTGACATAATCATTTTGGTGAACATCACTGTAAACGTTTTCTTGGAGAAATCATGTTTCTCTATTCATTTTATTCATTCATTTGTCGACATTGGTTCGCGATTTATAAGCACTTACGTAGAAAATGTGGCGGTTCGAACAAAAATAACAATTAACGTAAAAAACGGGCGTGAACGAAGCACAGCTCTAAATTTTTACGCTGGATCTAACGAACACTTGTGCAAACTTTCATCAAATTCGACGTATAGCAGTCACCGGAATTCCCTCGAAAGTACTGTAAAAATAAAAATACAGTAAATTCTCCCTAATTGACGCTCAGATTGTACACAGAAAAGGACAATTTGGGAACAGGAGATGCGATTATATGAGCCTTGCACCTCGTTTTTACAATTGTTGACAATCGGCAACTATAAAAATGTGCCTCAAGACTCGAAAAATCGTGTCTCCTCTTCCCAAATTGTCCATTTTTGTGCACAATCTCAGCGTCAATTAGGGAGAATTTACTGTACCGCGGTTCGGAAGAAGCAATTTTGTATTCCATTTGTTATTCTAAAATTTGCCTCGAGTGCGAAGGATCACCGTCGAACTCCGTAACTCGGAATCAGACCGAACGACAAATCGAGCAAAAGGATAGTCGTCGCGGACCCCGAGGGGAGAGGAGTAGCGTTCGGGTGTCGGTGGTCGCAATCAGAAAGAAAGCAAAAGGTGTCTGTCGCAGGGGACGTAGTCTCCGCCATGGAGGTGCTGGTCTGCGAGGACAGTCTTCAGCCGAAGTCCGCGTTCTCGCCTCTGGCAGGCGCCCTGGCGTCCGCCGCGGCTGCATCCGCATCGGTGTCGGCCGCGTACGCGACCCGCGCCGCATACTGCACCACGCCGATCCCCTCGACCAGACACAGGTTCCTCGCGGCGCCGTACGCCGGCACCGGTTACCTGCCCACGGTGATCAAGCCGCCCAATCAGAGCCTGCACGCGAACGGGACCGGCGACGCCTATCGGGAGACCAGTCCCGACGACGCCAGCGACAAGACCAGCTACTCCGAGTGACCTGACGACGCGCTGCCCGTCACCTGGTCCTACCTGCAATAGCCCTGGCACGACCGGAGGAGGGACTTCGTTCGGCGAAATGGCGTTGCTCCGGAACTCGTACCCCTATGGTGACCTGTCCCGAGACATCAGCCTCTCGAGACCCGCGGTCCAGGTCCGGCTGCTTATCAGAATGTGAACATTTCAGAGCAGTTCGAGACGCGCGAACGTTGGGGACGCGATCGTCTGTCCGGAGGTTTGTTTCCTTGCAGAATCGCGAAGTGCTGGATGAGTAATTGGAATCATTTTGAGCACCGCGGAAAGTGGTTCTCGGTCTTCCTCGACGAGGTGTATCACCTTTGGAGGTGAAATTAATATCCGAGACGATTCTGCTTTAAAATGATTGCTCGAAGAATCGTGGTTTTCCATTTTCGAATTCTTCGACTGCTGATCGAATTTCGGACATTTCTTAAAATATTTATGAAATCACGTACTGATACACGGTACTAATTAGACTGCGGATTTTATGCGTTCACGATCGAAACGAGCAGATCAAATACGAGACAGCAAAAACGTTTAGAGAATTTACAAATACTGTTGCATTCTTTTTAACTCGATAATAGAATTAAAGAAAGAAATGTCTATGCAGTTTCAGCATTTTGCAATTAACGAAGGCAATTTTCATTTTGCACGAACATCCGTAGATTAGTACCAACGATAGGTATTCTTTCAAACTTCTTGCATTTTGCGACTAATCTTTGGTGCGGCGAATTCTTTCTCGCAGTCCGAAGTGTTCGCTTCAGCAGGTAAGGCGTTGCTTTCGAAAAGGTTCCTTTATGAAGATCGAAATACAGTAATGTCTCCCTTACCGACTTCCTTGTGGCTCGTTTTTTATGGCTATCGATTGTCAACAACTATAAGAACGAGTTGCAAGGCTCGAATAATCGTATCTCCTCTTCCCAAATTGTCCATTTTTCTGCACAATCTGAGCGTCAGTAAGGGAGACATTACTGTACTAGTCAATGCGCAAATTCGCGAACTAACGCGGATTCTTCTGCAACATTTCCTTGAACCGCTTCTCACGATTGCTACGCGTGCAATTGACAAAGTGGTTCCAGTTACTTAACCCGAATCGGCCGAACCGGAGGACGACGAGTCCGCCGCGGATGTTTCTGCGAACGTAGACGGACCCGACGGACTCTCTCGTTCGCGGAAAGTGAAATCAAGCAAATGTCTGCTCGCTGTGTGAATGGTAATCGTCGGACTCGAGAGAACCTCATTAGATTTTATGAAATCTCTAACTGTAAATGCTTAAAATCCAGTGCCGAAGGTTCCGAGGCCGGAGATATCGCGTCGAGAACGTGTCTGGGTCGGAACTCGCCGGTGGTTGGACTATGATCGAGTGTTCCAAGTGGATCCCGAGGATCGATGGTTCGGGAGTTGCGTGTATACGTGATTATTTAACGGTATAGTCGAAGGTAGCGAAACAGAGACTGGCAAAGTCAACGAAGGACGCGCCGAGGAGTTCTTTTTACGAACAGAAGAATCGCCGCGTCGCGTGGTCTTGTCGCCTTCGAGTATATCGATCTGCTTACGATGGCGGTTTAGTTTGGGCAACCGGCAGAAGTATTCGAGTAATTTCTGCTCTTGTAACTCGTGTATATGAATTTAATCCTTCAGAGAGTAGGACACAGGAAGAGAGATTAGAGTGATATAATCGGCGTGGTCGGCCCGTGACGGAAAACTGGTCGACCGACGTCGGATTCACGAGACACAGGCGAGATAATTCACGAACGTAAACACTAATCTTTCCCTGAAAGAGGAACGTACTATAAGACTAAGGAATTCTCCTCGAGTTATTTACGATCGGCGGAGTCGGCCGAAGGGAGGAGAAGAGGAATCGATCTCCACGGATACCTTCTGGTCCTTCGAAATCGTCGGAAAGTACAGTAATGTCTCTCTAATTGACGCACAGATTGACCACAAAAATGGACAATTTGGGAAGAGGAGATACGATTATTCGAGCGTATTTTGTAAGGTTTATTTTTATAGTTATAAATTGTCCACAATTATAAAAACGAGCCGCAAGGCTCGAATAATCGTATCTCCTCTTCCCAAATTATCCAATTTAATGGACAATCTGAGTGTCGGTAAGGGAGACATTACTTACCGCGCGAGTGTCGAGTGCAGTGATGTCTCCCTAACTGACGCTCACATTGTGCAGAAAAATGGACAATTTGAGAAGAGTAGAAACGATTATTCGAGCCTTGCAGCTCGTTTTTTACAGTTGTCGACACTTCGTAACTCTAAAAACGAGCCGCAAGGCTCGAATAATCGTATCTCCTCTTCCCGAATTGTCCATTTCTGTGAACAATCTGAGCGTCAATTAGAGAGACATTACTGTACTCGTCGACGGGACTCGCCAATGGTGGCCAGTAAAACTTACTCGGAAGAGTTGACTTCGTACTAACTCGATCCTTCGAAGGGAATCGCGAAGACGCGTGTGTACAGGACGTTGCCGAAGCTGCACGCCATCTTGGAATCTCATAGAGGATAGAGAGAATATAAAAGGATAAAATATTTATTCTGCGCGGATTGTCGGCGAAACCGAGTAGCAAACTTTTCAGACGAACAATGGCAAATATATTATTTGACGATTGTTTAGGAGCAATGAATTAAGAACGAAGTTTCCAGGAACATTTTCGTTCGGATTCTCTGTTAGATTACAAGCCGATGCTTTTTGTTTTCGAAGACGTTCTGTACAGACGCGGAGCAGCGACGCTCCGGAGGAACAAAGATGGCGGCCTCGTTGTAACGATATACATACCTTTATACATGTGTAGATAAACCGAGCGGTACTTAAGAAGTATGTGTGTAGGTAACAGAACGTAGGGTGTGGCGAAATGTATGGGGTCTCCTTCGAGGACGGTTCCCTCGGATATTTTACCGCGTTCAAATAAATAACCACCCTCTAAATAGTTGAATTTCTCTGATATTCCGTGCTCGCGAGGCTTCTTACCACTTGTCTCGATCCATCGAATCCATCCTCGAAGGGAACCCCGCTAATTGTATCGCGCCCCTGCGCATCAAAAATAAAACGGGCGGATCTCTGTAAATACGCGTGAATCGCTTTAGCTAATCTAACACCATTGTATTAACCGAGAACGCTGTTGCGGAGGGTCGCGTGGCTTCCGGTTGGAGCAAGGCGTTGGAACGTGGGATCGTTGACAGCAGCGTATGCGCATTACGATGATTACACATAAGTGTTTGCCTGTAAGTTTAACGGCACCGAAATGTTTTAGGACGCGTCGTTCTTTGTAGTTACCATATGTTATCCGAAGAAATGTATAGACGGAATATAAGAACAATAAATAAGATATTGATACTCCAGGTCTCGGCGAGTCACTGCCATCATCTCGCGGGCCTCGCTATCCTCTTTTCCATCTGGCACAAATTGATACTGACATTGTCGGGGCCCCAAAGAAACATCATCTTCCAGATCCACAGATCCGAACTACTCGCAAGAAATAACAAAAGTTACAAGCTTGTTACATCTTGGCAACTAATTTTCATTCTTCAATCCGAAAAAAGCAACATCCTCCAAATATCCATGTCACCGTGGTTACGAAGCTTTTCCCATGTCGACCAAGTCTAAAGTTTCCCATGGCTACTCTTCCGAGCCTAACAGCCTCTATTGTATAGTACTTGTAAAGGAAATCCAAGAATTCACGTGTGACGTCACATATGGAAAAAGATAATTTCAAAATGGCTGACACGGCAGGCCGACCGTGTCTCTAAGTGTAAATTCAAAATGATGTAATGTCAAAGTATATGAATAATTTTTCTCTATGAATTCGTGTATTTGTATTTTTATTATTGATTCAAGTTTATTATCGATTTAAGAGAATAATTAGTCAAACACTTCCTACAGAATATTATCAATATCTCAATATTGAATTCAAATAAATTTTACAAAATTATAATCTCTATTTAAAATCGTAGAAGGGAAAACTTAATGACCAAAATATATACTCATAAAGAATTTCTATTATCTCGAATACTTTGAAAAGGATATGCATATGTATACATCTGTTTACTTATTTCTTGCAAAAATTAGCAAGAAGTTGACCATTGTAATTGTTTCACCTATTGAAATATCGATGCACATGATACTACATAATATATCATACAAGCATAGCTTGTACATCTTGGTCACACGTGACGTCACGATGTTTTGCTTGAGGGAAATTACCTAAAGCCGTGCCCCTATAGGTATACATGATCCAAGAATCTAACTATCGGGAAGAGACACTTGTCCGACCCCTTTTCACATTGGTCGACAGTCATCCTAGACTGTCAGATGCCACAGATGCAACAGATGCCACGAAGAATGCGCGCTCGTTCGAATCAGCGAACGAAAATCGTCTGCGAACGATTTTTCCGTACAATGTCCGAGGATAATTCGTGGTGACAGACAAGAAGCAGAAGATCATCGGAACGGACAAGGACATTTTCCAGATGAATGGAAATCTCCGGACGACGGGCGAAAAAGGTATCGGATGACGGATACTGTTCGCAGGTGCAGAAAACTGCAGGGGACGGGATCAAGCTGCCAGAAAATCTTTGAAATCGGATCGGTTTCGTGCTCGATCTAGCCCATCAGGGATCCCCGAGCGGTCGATTTCCCGCGAATGGATTCCCGGCGACGCGGCTAATCGATTCTGCCACTCGATTACCGATCCCGGACCGAATTATCGGGAAATCGTCGGTCGTTGTAAGCCCGCCTTTTTTTCTCTCGAACGAAACCTGCCGTTCGGTTTGATCCGAAGTCGATGAAATCCAGTTTTAATTGTGCGGGTCATTGTGAACGTCTATAGATCGATTTGAGTTTTATAGATTGTATTACTGCAGCAAACCTCGAACGTTAAATACAATATTGAAATGACACAGATTTTCTGTGAATTTTCATACATTTATGGCACTATATTTGTAAAGCTCAAGATCGAGACGAAGAAAGACCGTCCTTTTCTTTTAAAGAAGACGTTTATAATAACTAGATGCGGATTTTATGCATTCATAGGAAAAATTAGTGGTTTTAATTTCAAATAGTAGAGAGATTAAAAGAATATGCAAATATCATTGTATTATTTTTAATCTAATAAAATTAATAAAAAGAAAAAACGAACTTCTTATTTAGTTTCTGCTTCTTGTAATCGATGTAGACAATTTTTATTTCGAATAAAAATCCACGGTCTAATAATAACCAATTTTTGTTTTTCGAATATTCGTATTATCGATGAAGATCATTTTTAATTTCAATTCAGTTCCAAGCTGAATTAATTCGAGAATTTTAGGTCGACATCTATATTGCCAGAAATTAAATTGTACGATTAGATAAGTAGTTATCGAGTTTTAACGTTTCTTATTTTCTTCTCGTGCGTCATATTTGCTTGGCATTTTTCTTTTTTCTTTTTCGTTAGCAAATTTGTCGTGGAAAGAGAATTACGGCGCATTTCCGAATCAATCGGGAATTTCTAGAGAAAAATCGCAAGTTACGTGATACGTCTAGAATTGAACAATAAGGTGGAAAAAGTGGAGCTCGGGGAAGCCCGGAATTCACTTTCCCCGATCCGATATTCCCACTAATTTTTTCTACTAATTTCTGCTTTCACCTCGAAACGTATTTAACACGACAGAACGCGATATCACGTTTTCCTCCGGTCGACCTAATGGAAAAATTGCATGCTGGTGGCGATTAATCGAACCTCGTGGCCTAGTGTGTTCAAAAGTCTTCTTTCAACAGAATTATTTCGACAAGATCGTAAAAAAGTACATCCTCGAATAACGTTTATCATAGTTTTTCAAGAGAGAATTTC